CAAAAAAAGAATCCTCCTCCCACTCCACTGCTTTTCTAAAGGAGTGCTCAGATGTTAATGTCGAAAAATAAAATTTCTGGCACCTGGGTGGCTCAGCAGTTGAGCATCTGCCTTCGGCTCAGGTCATGATCCCAGAGTCCTGGGATTGAGTCCCACATCAGGCTCCCCTCAGGGATCCTGCTTCTCCCTCTGCCTGTGTCTCTGTCTCTCTCTCTGTGTCTCTTATGAATAAATAAATAAGATCTTAAAAAAAAAAAAAAAAGAAAGAAAGGAAAAGAACATTTGCAAATTTGCAACAACCATTCCCAAGGAAATGGAAGTTCACCAAACCCTGAAAGCCTCCAGGCAAGTTGCAGAGATTGTTTGGAGCAGATAGTGGTGGGAAATGTCCAGAGTGGCTGAGCTAAAGACAAGAGGGCTTCCCTAGGATGTGTCTTGGGGTTTTACCCTCATTTGAGGGGCTAAATTAGGCCTTGGGAGAGAGGGCCTGGAAGAAGAGACCATCCTTAGCCTCCAGAGAATATGCCCACCTCAGGAATGGGGCCTCTAGCCCAAGCCCAGGAACGGAAGAGCAGGTGATGAGCTCTCAGATCCCATGGAGCAGGAAAAGCTCTGGTTGCAGCTCCTGGTTCTGATCAATCCTTGAGGAAACAAGACAGTGAAGCGAAGGCGGGGGATTAGATCCGGACCCCAAGGCTCCTCAGTAGCAAAGGGCCACACTCCTCCACGCAGGCCCCTCTTCATTTGCACCCACTCAACAAACACTGAGCACCTATCACGCGCCAGGAGCTCCTAAGCATAAAGCACATAGGACTTTCCTTTCTTTTAAGAATGTCACGGTCTCTTGAGAGGGAAAGACAAGAAATCAGTAAGTATAGGATGATGTGTGATGGAGGTGTGCGCAGATCACAGGACGCCCCGTGCAGTGCGGGTGGGGCGGGGGAGCTGGGGAAGCGCCCTGTGTGCGGAGGCCTGGCTAGCCAAGACCAAACCCGGTTAAACTGCTGGCTGCACAGCCCTGCACCAGGCTCTGGTCAATTAAAGAGAGAAGGATGAAGTGGGAGGGAAGATGGGGTCAAGATGGGAGGAAGAGACCTCGGCTTGATTTATGGACTCAGGTTGAGGGCTTTGCTCCCACCTGTTCAGACAGGTGTTCTGTACCACCTGGTGGGAGTGTATCTGTTCCTTCCACTCACCCCTTGAGGAGAGACTTCGCCCTCTCCCGGGCCCTCGATTGCCTCCAGAACCATCAGATTTCTTTTGCTGCCTGCCCGCATCCTCCCTAGTCTGTTGCTAAGAAGGCACTTCCCTGGAGAAGTGGGAACAGGGAAAGAGATTGCCCCTAATTCTACCCTTTGGGGCCACTAAGAGCCAATATGAGCCTCCCCTACGTGGCAACCTTCATATCATTGAAAATAGCTCTCACATCTCCCCCCGCATCCCCCAGGCATCACTTCTTTAGAATAAAAACCCCATTTCTTGATCTTTCCCCAGAGTGACATATGATCTAAGCTACTCAAGCATTTTTTTTTTCTCACTTTGAGATTTGTCTTGGCCCTTCTTAAGGTGGGAAACCCGTAACTGAATGCAATGAACCAGGTGTGATCTGATCAGCCCAGAGTAGAAGAGGAATCTCACCTCCCTTATTTCCTGTCTCATATTTCTAATAACACAACCAAAGATGGAATTTGCTCTTTTGGGCAACTATCTCACGTTCGTGGGGTTCCTTAAAGTGTATCATAAGTTCAACCTAGGTTGGGTTTGTTTGGTTTTGTTGTTTTGTTTGTTTGTTTCCTATTTCTGCTGCTGCTAAACCACATCGTACCCGCCCTACCTTTGTACAGCTGGCTGACTTGGGGCCCTAACTAGAAACCTCCTGGGGCGAGGTCCTCCTGGCTCTTCAAAACATGGTGCAAAGCTAGAAGCAAATGACCAGTGGGAAGCTGGTGATGAAGGCTCCACACACACTCCAGGACATGGGCACTGAGGTCCCCACCAGGTTTCTGGGGACAAGCCATCTCCTTGGGTCACCCTAACTTTCCTGTCTCACCCCCAAAGAGATCATCGCACTCCAAATGTTGTGCCATGTGGTGGGGGGGGGGCGTCTTGGAAGCCTCTCCTCAGCGCCCCTCTCCAGTTGAGAGAATGACGATGGATTCCACAGACCTTTACGAAGGACATCAGGCCTGGCGTGGAGGCAGAGCCGCCCAGTTAGAGGAGCTCACAACCAGAATTCAGTCCAGGGGGACTGATGGGTAACACTGAGGTTCAGCAGGTGTCGGAGCGCTCGGGGGACTTTGCAATACCTTCCCTATTTCCTCAAAAGCCAAAGATGGGGCTGGAATGGTGGTGGGTTTTCAAGACCCAAGGATGCATGTAAGGACCAAGGATCTTCCAGCAGAGAAACCATGGCTCCAGCCTGTTGGAGGGAGCAGAGGATGGAGGAGTGAGGAGGAAGGAGTGAGACACCCATCAATCTGAAATGAGTATGCACCCTTCTAGGGGTGAGCTCCAGCCTGGAGATTGGAGGCAGCCTGTGCTCCTGGTCTAACCACCCCTCCCTCCCAGCTCCATTCGTCTCTGCCCACAGACACCCTCAGAAGAGCCTGGCAATGCCTCTTCAAGCCTCCGCCACTAGATGTGTGGAGGAAGGGAGGGCATCTAGGTCTTTTGCCTCTTGAGCTGACTTTGGAACAAAGAACCAGACTGAGTGGTGGGGGGACAGGTGTCTTCCAGCAAAGCCACCCAAATAAATGTGCTTCCAAACCCTTCTAGACCCACCATACAAACCAGTGTCCAGATGGTTCACAGAGCAGCCTCCTGGACCTTGTTGAGTCAAGTGGAGAGGAATAACAATAATAACAGTAAATATTTATTATTATGAACTGATGATGATGATGATGATGATGATGATTTAGGGCAGGGGAGCCCTTCCTGTCTGTGTCAACTGGGCTATAGTCTATTCCCATTTTTCAGAATGAATGGAAAGGTCAAAGATGACCCTTGGAGGGAAGAATATAACCAATGGAACTTGTGCTACTGTGCTCCCCTTTTCCCTCCTTTCCTCTACTTTTGGGGCGGTCGGATTCCTCCGGCTTCCATCGCCCCACCTCGAGTCCTACCCTGGACCACAGTGAGCTTCGGATCCACAGCATGAGGGCTCCTTCCTCAGGGCTTCCATTCAAGCCGGGTCCTTCCCAGCCACCTGTCCTCCCTCATCTTTGCAGAATCAGCTCAAACCTCGCCTTCTCTCTGGGACCTTTCCCTGCATCCCAGAGACAAAACTTGGCCTTTCCCTTTTAGGGGAGCACTCACGGCGTTTTTCTCAGTGGCCTGTTGCTGATGCCTGTTCCCATATGTGTCTACCCCAGTCGGGAGCTCCTAAAGGGTGTGATCTGCATCGCCTGGTCCTGACTTGATGCTTTTAGGGAGAGAGTAAATGAAGGAATGAGTGAGTGAGTGAGTGAATGAATGAATGAATGAATGAATGAATGAAACACAGCAAGGGACAGACAAGGCCTCTAACCCATAAATGTGCATCTTGGCCAGGGTCTCTGCTTCCGTCTATGCTACTCCCTGCCACGTGGAAGAGCTGCGGCTCTGTGAGGGCACAGTGGGCCCGGCTGGCGGGATGTCTTGGGCCCTGACAGTGAGGGGGTCTCCTATTAGGGAAAGGATCACCTGGAAAATCTCCCTTCCCCCCATCCCCAGTGGACCTTTTTCTTCTTCCAGAAAGAGTACAGGATATTCTGGACAAACGTGAGGCCCTCCGGAGGCAGGGGCCGCATGGGCTGTTTGCTCCCAAGAGCCCTTCTGCAGGGGCAGATGCAGATAACATGAGACTCTTGCCCCCTCTTGGGCTGCGTGAACCCGAGACCGAGAGCGTCTCTAGCCCCGGGTGCCCCGGCGGCGCCCTGACAGGTTGGGATCCGCTGATTTCTAAAGAGATTTTGAGCAGAGAGCATGCAGTTTTAGGAAGGGCCATGGAAGGGGGGCTGCCTCAAGATGCCCTAGATCCTGGCCTCCTGAGTCCCCTGATAGACCAGGAGAAGGGAAGGGGTCACCCCGGCTGCACCCCAGGAGATCTGCCAAGAGAACAGGTGGAAGTCAGGCTAAGATTCTCCGCAGAAGGCACCAGCCGTGACCCAGGGCGCCAAGAGGGCGAAGTGCAGAGAGGGAGGCGCGGAAGGGGCAGGAGGAAGGTGGTGGAGGGCCACAGCTGAGCAGGGGAAGGTGGAATTAAAATAATCAGAGCCCGAGAGCCCCCCCTCTCTCAGCGTCCCTGATAAGTTGGCTGGCTCTTTCTGCAACGCCCTGCATCTCCCCCCAACTCCCTCGCCTACAGGGTCGGGGTTTCCCACCCCCAGGAATAGCAGGGAAGCAGATCACAAAGCCTCCTGGATGATAAAAGTCACTTGCTTCTCAACCTGTGCTACCTGCCAGGAAAACCCACTTGGTTGGGCCCCTGCTCCCACCCGGGTCCCCTTTCCACGCGCCCGTCCCTTCGTGGGCTGTGGGCTCTCTGCTGCGTTCCTGAAGTGCGGGGCTAGGAAGCCAGGTCGCGGCTCAAGAGCCCAAGATGCCATCGATCGGCGCCCCCCGACGTACAGGTGAGTGGATTCTCTTGTGCCCACAGGGCCTCTCCCAGCCCAGAAACCACCTGAGCCTTCCCCTTCCCTCCTTCCTCCTTGCCCAGGCCTTCGGGACACCCCAGCCTTCAGGGACAGTGCTCGGTGACCCGCAGTGGCCCTCCAATGACAGAGATCTAACCCCCCTCACTCTTGGTGGGTGTTTACAGAACAATAGGAAAGCAAGGTGAGTGTGCAGGAGGGCCTGGCCGTCCTGCCCCCCCCCCCCCCCCCCCCGGGTGTGGGTTCTGAGGGGCGGAGCCAGGCGCCCGAGCCCTCGCTCCATTGGTCGGACCCAGCAGGTAACCCGAAGCCCTGCTGAGAGGTGCATAAATAAAGAGTGAAACTAGTACCACCTCCTTGAAAGGGGCTGAGTCCTTCTTCACCTTTGCCTTGGAAAAACCCGTTTCTCTCTTTTATTGTCTCTTACCTATTTCTCAACCTTCTATTTCCAAAAGCCCCACGGAGCCCTGCCACATGCTGCAAACCCTCTCTTCCAGCTACTGCTGCTCTCTCTAATCCAGTTCCACTCTTCCCTGCTTCCATGTTCTTTTTTTCTTAAAGGGAGGATGACTCTTCAGGACCGGCCCCCACCCCACCCCCCCTCGGGAACAGGCCTGCTCCACTGGATCCGACACAGTAAGTGTTTCTCCTTTCTTAGCTCCAGCCGTCCAACCCCAGGAGTGAACGAACATCCCGAGACTCGGAATTCCTTCTCTTCCTCTCATACACCTGAGTCTCCAGCCATCTCTTTGTTCTGAGTGATCTTATGGGAAAAAAAAAAAAAAAAAAGCCTATTTATTATTTTGCATCAAGCTCCGAGAAGGTACGGACACGCATGCTTCCAGGTGAGTCTGAAATCTGTGATTTGGGGTGCTTCGGAAAACCCAAGCCGAGCGCCTGTACCAGGAGGATCTCTGGACAGTTAAAGAGAAGATTATGGGCCGTGGAAAGAAGCCACACTCACTGGAGGTTGATTATCCACTTCTTCCAAAGCTAAAATAGGAGGACCTACTTCATTTTACCCAAATCCCAGGCCAGTTCTACGTTTGGGGGTGGGGGGCAGTTTCCCACGGTCTCAGGCAATAATTGTCACCGATAATGGGAATTGGGGTGGTAAGGTGGGTGCCGAGCAGTTAAGTACCAAGATTACAGTTCTTTCTAGATTTCACGGCGATTTGCCCAACTAGAGGAATGGGGTGGGGCGGGGGAGGGGGTGCAGTCCTGGCCTCTCAGGGCTGGGCCGCAGGGTACGACTATAACAAGAAATTTCAGGACCCGACTCCATTCTTCGGTTCTTGTGTCCACGTTGGTCTTATTGGGAAGCCGTGTGGGGCACAGGTCCCGGGGCAGTTGGGGAACAGGAGAGCAGTCATCGGGTGAACTTACTCTAAAACCAGCACAGGAACAATTTGCTTCTCTGACCCAACCCTACAACTGCAGGTGGCCAAGGAGAAAGCACTGGGCCATCGAGTTGACAAAGGCATGGTGGGTAGAGAATCTTGAACTCTAGGGATGGGGTCCAGGCTGGGTCTAGGCTCCTGATGCAGGTTCTAGGCTCATCTTCCCTTGTCTCTGCCTTGCCTTGCGGCAGGTCTGTAGGGCAAGGGTCAATGATACCTCCTGTTTGTATGGCCTTGCACAGCTAAAGTGCTTTGACAGACACTGTCCTCTCTGGGGGATCCACTGTAGAGGCTAAAAACCCTACACGAGGGTGAGAGTCTGCACCCTCCAAGTGAGGCCTTGAAGAATCTGGTGGACCGTACATGTTGGGAGGGTAAGGGTGGCGTCGTGAGGGTCTGAAAGGAGACCAATGGGGCCCTTTGCTGTCCGAGTTGGACTGAAATCCAAGGAGAAAGCAAAGGATCCTTCCATTCCCCAGACTATTTCCTCCCACCATCTTCTGCTATCACTTCTCAGAGCCAGCCGGGCCAGTCTCTGGTTTCCCTGGCTGTGAAATGGGCCACAGGCAGTGCAGGATTATAAGGTCCAAATAATGCACAGGCAGGGTGCGTGTCTCTCTCGTGATTGAGAATCGTGAGTATTTATGAAGAACGCTGAGTGGGGGAGGATGGGCCCTCCTTCTTCCCCTTGGTACCCAGCTCCCTGCCCCCAGCACCACCCGTGTTCACCCTGACCAAGGACAGCCAGGCTCTGCTTCAGCAAGAGCTGCGACAGCCTAGCCCTTGTTCCAGAGCCCTATGCCCAGGGGGCTGGATCTTGGGGGAGGAGCCACAACCTAAGCTAGGGCCTCCCTGTATCGGGTCAGGACAAGCCCCAGGAAGAAAGTATTCCAAACAACAGGGTGGATCTGCCCAAACCCACCCAGTCTGTACGTTGGTGCTGAGAACAGCCTTTTATGGGGCTTATACTGAGCCACAGGCGTGCCCGGACACAGCAAGGAAGAGGCCAGAGCAGCAACTAAGCAGCAACTGGAGCATGGGCATTGCTTTTAAGAGGACAGAAAGCCTCTGAGGCTTCCATCCTCCCTGTCTAGGTCAGCTTCTGCGAGCCAGGCCACCGCCTCCCGCCGCACATGCCCCAACGCCATGCCCAGAGAATATGGGATTGTTCCCATGATTTGGCCCAGGATGTGGAGTCACCGGAAAGTAGACATCCTAGATAAGTCCGAAGGGGTGAGACCAAGGAGTCTCCCCCTGCTTTGCCCACTCCTGCCCTCAGGAATGGGCCTGGCTCCCCACCCCACCCCACCCCACTGCCACCCAGGCATCCTGGTCCCTCCACAGCTCCGCACCCACCTCCGCTGGGTTTCCTACTGGCAGACGGGCCTACAGAGTACAGTTCATGCTCTTTGGATGCTGCATTCTGGAAAGAATGCGTCCCATCCCCTTGGTAAACAAGTTCCTTAGAGATGGATTTTTCTCAAGCAATTTCAGAGCACCTGCACCCCCCAGCCAGGACCAACCAGATGGAGCTCAGGTCTGGCGCACACAGGGGACATAGACGAGGGAGACGATAACCAGCATCCCAACCGGGGAAATGCAGAGAAGGTTCTCCCGTGGACTGCCCTGCGGGTGAGAAAGAGCAAGAGTCCCCAGCCCCCAGCCCCAGCCCTGCCACTCAGCCCGGCCTGCCTGGGCGACGGGCATGGGGGTGTCTGGGTCCTGGGTGGGCCGGCTCCTGCAGCCTCCCGGGTGATCCTGGGAGGGCTGCACGCTTGCACGTCCTCCGCATCTCCCGACACTGTCCCAGAGATCCTGCAGGCCCTTGTCTGGGCAGTACCCCGCCATGCAGAGGCCAGGGTGGCCATGCGGCCCGCCCCTGAGAAAGAGCCCCAGACAATCCATGTGTTTCTCTTGTCCTTCATTCCACCGGAGTCTGTCTCGTACCCAACCAGATTTCAGTGGAGTGAAGTTCAGGAGGCGTGGACCTGACACCGCAGCGGCCGCAGCAGCAGCAAGAGTAGCTCTGACTGAGAAGAGGAAAGGCCCAGGGAGGGATGTGGGTGCGGAAAGGAGACATCTGGAGCGCATCTCCCCCTGCAGAGGGGCTGGGGGCTGGGCGGTGGGCAGATTGCAAAAGACACCCCAGATGGGAGCCGTGGATTCCTTCTTGTCTCAAAGTGATGCGATGGAAATGTGTGTGTGGTTTTTTTTTTCTGTAACTTCTACAAATTAAAAGTTGTCTGTGTGCTGGAAAGCCTGCCTCTGTGATTCATGCTGTGGGATGAGGACTCCCTGGCCTTCTAAGTCACCTCCCCTTTGGGCTAAAATGGACACAGGCCCCCCTCTCTCTCCTGGGGTTCTCCAGGCAGGTGGCTGGAGCCCTAGTCGCAAGCCATAGGGGGCCCCTGTTGCCCTCAGGCTCTGGAGGCGCCCGCAGGACCTGCAGCACTGGGTAAAAAACCCGATTAAGATTTCTTTAAACCCATTTATATTGTAATAAAATAAATGTAAATAAGATTTAAGTGAAGGCAGATTGCAGATCTTTCAGATGCTATACAAGCTATATCTCGTATCGTATGGGTGTAAATTCTGCAAAGGTTAATGCACTTAAACATACTTGACACATAAAAATGTCAGATCCAACATTAATCATTTACCAATTGTAATTGCCTTTATATGGGTCTTTTCTCTCTAAGACATATGCTTAAAACACCAGGCTCAGTAGAAATCTGGGAGGAAAAAAACAAATAATACTTCTCAGCTGTCAGGGTCTATGATTTGCTTTGATAGATTTAGCACTGATTTCATTGGTTTCACAAGCCTGTGGATTTTCTTTTTAATCCCTTATCTCTCCTTTAGGGAAGGAGAAGGTTGTGGGGAGGAGGGAGTGACCCTAGTCCAAAGGAAGCCCCCCAAGTTATGGAGGAGATGCCCAGGCCTTTGTGTTGTCAGTTCCTTAGGTAAACGAGGTCTCCTTCAGGGAGCCAGTCAGGCTAAAGAGACAAACTGAACAAAGCCTTGCTCTGACAAGTCTTCAGAAAAACCGGTTTTCACCTCCAGAATGCGCCTGGGGCAGCAAAACTCAATAGCTACCCCTCCCTGAGTGGTGCTTTTTCTTAGGAGCCAGTGTAAAGAAGATTCCAGCTTTGCCCTTAGTTACATGTCACTGGGGTCTCAGAGCCCCTCCCCCCGCCAGTGACCTCCCAGGGCCTCTTCACCCCTTCCCTCCCCTCCCTGGGACTCCACCCCTGAGGGATACAGGCCTCCCAGACTGTGGGCGGGAGCCCAAAGGAGTAAGCATTTCCGCACCATATCTTCATGCTTTGAGTCCATATGGATCCAGACAGACCCTTGCTCCTGCCACCCTTGCTTGTGCAACCTGAGGCCCAGGGACAACAGCAGGGGGAGGAGGCCAAGCCATGGGCATGTTTTTAGTAACAGGTTTATCCATAAAAATTAAATTTTTTTTAAAAAAATTAGCAATTGCCACAAATGGGGTTAAGATTGGGGAATGGGTCACTCGGGCTAATGAGCTAGCAAACACCTCCCATTGGAGGTTCTTTTTTTTTTTTTAAAGATTCCAGACAAGATTCTATTTATTTATTCATGAGAGACACACAGAGAGAGGCAGAGACACCGGCCATGGGAGAAGCAGGCTCTATGCAGGGAGCCCGATGTGGGGACTTGATCCTGGGACCCCGAGATCACGCCCTGGGCCGACACTCAACTGCTGAGCCACCCAGGTGTCCCCTGTTGGAGGTTCTGAAGGAAAGAAAGGGGCAGAAAATCAGGAGGGAGTGGCATGTCCATTTACAGCTTGGTTTGAGCCCTCTGACCTGGATTCCTTTCCTAGGAAGAGGGTGTGTGTGTGTGTGACTGTGTGACTGTGTGTGAGCAACCTTCCTCCGGCCACGTGGGGCCCAGAACCAAAACCAGTGGCCCAAGGGCCTCCTGTCAAACACCAACCAGGGCGTGATGCCTGGATTGCAGAGGACACTGTGCTAGATACGCACCCCAGCCCCAAATCCCACTGTGATGCGGCCTTAGCAGCACACACAGGCCCGGGCCCTGCATTTGCGACCCCAGGGTCTTCACTGCCCACCCCGTCCTGCCCGCACAGCAGACTGTCTGTTCCCCGTCGTGCAGGGAGCAAACCCTGGGCCTGGCCCACAGCAGCTTTGCTGGGCAAGCCAGTGCGCGCCTGCAGCCCGAGCAGACTGCCCCATCCATCTTCCCGGTCCAGCCCCCGCTATTATCTTCATTGCAAAGCGTGGCTCGCTAAAACCCAACACAGAGAAAACGATTTCATCAAAATTCCCTTGCAACCACCACCACCACCACCACAACAACAACAACAAAAAAAAACAATATCGCCCTGCTTTCTTTATTCATGATCTGTTATTGAGGCGAAAGGCAAATATCATTGAGCCAAACCCGAATAGACAAATACATACAACCACTGGTAATTTAATATTTTGTGCTAATGGTATACACTGTAGATACAACCCGAGAGGAGTAAATTACAATCCTATCAATAATACATCGCATCTGGGCCCCAGTTCCCCGGTTCGCTAGAAGATATGTATTGGCAAAAGGCTCTCCGAATATTAAAACCCATGCGTATAATCAGGCGGTGGTTACAAAAGCTAGACGCTCCCGGAGGATTGTATTCCGGGCTCTGTTATCGAGGTCCTCTATGGGGGAAATATCCCACGCTGAGGCTCCTAAAGCCGGTGCTAAATGAAGATATCCTGTCCACATCCCCGGCCGCTCTCTGGGTGACGTTTCAATCACAGAATAACCCATAATCAGCCCCCCCCCATTTGCCCGTCAGAGCACCGCATCTATCTGGATGCCTCTGCTCCCCTGGGAAATATGTGGGGTCTGTGGCGGTGATCTACGATCTACGATCTACGATGATGGCCTGCAGAGAGGCCCGGTGCGGACCGCAATGTTGGAGAGAGCCACCACATGGCTTTGGAGCTCCCTCTCATCCTGGACCTGACCCCAGCTTCCCCAGTTGTGTGGGGTCCTCCCAAAGAAAGCAAGAAAGGAGGGAAGCCTGATGATGACAGGCCGGGAGGCACCCACCTGCAAGGAGGGGTAAGAGATTTATTCTGGAATTTTAAATGCCTCCAGTTCTTAAAATTGAGTGGATCCGAATTCCCTTCCTCCTCCCACCAGGAGAAGCCAAGGCCAGTCTCCTCTGAGAGCGAGGAGGAAGTATTTCCGTCATGACAAAATTACTATCGTGGACAGATGATGTTCCAGTTTGCAAGAGGGCTCGTTAGGGCCGCAGCCGCACGCTGGTCCCTGTCTCTGACCCGGATTACAGGTCAGAGCAGTGAGGACTCAGATGAGCCACCAGGGTCAGTACCTTCCTTATCTCTTTTCTAATCAGACCCTGCAAGTAGGAGGAGGATCCCAGGAAGGAGAGGAGCTGGTCAGGGGATTTCAGGCAAAAGGAAGGGGATGTAGACAGCAGCCCCATCCCCAAGCTCAGGGATGATGAGGCCTGGCCAGACACCAGTTTCCTGATGGAAATAAAAGCTTCCTACATTGTAACAAACTGACCAGGCTGTCTGCAGAAAGACACCTCCGCATCAAAGAAAAACAATGCAAAAAAAGTTCCCTTTGTGTATAGTAAATCACCAAAAGCAAGAAGAAGCATCTGGAAGTCTTGTCACAGTCTCCCTCCCTCCCTCCTCTCTATACTCCCTCAACCACCTTCAATCCCTTTTTTTTTTCCTCCTTGGAGGGATGAACAAGGCGGTTTTCCTTGCTGCCTGTCAGATAGCAGGGCTGGGTGGGACACCTGGTGGGCTGTAGGGGAATCACACCCACATTTGCTGCCCTTCCTCACTGCCCAGGTCTGAGGGAGGAGGCTCGCCCCTCTGCGATGGTGGGAAATAACAAAGCAAGCAGCCTTCACCCACCTCCCACCCCCCCACCCCCACCCGCATCCCCGCATGTGGTGTCCACATGGGCTTTAAATATAGTAGCGGTTGGGGAGATGCTGACCTACATTTCTGTGACGTTCAACTGCGTTTGGGAAGAAGTGGTGGCCAGGAATCACTATCACCAAATAGAATCCGTAGATACACAAATACACACTCTGGTTTGCGATGCGAGTCCCTCGTTATTTAAACTTTACTTAAAACTCACATTGAAAGTAGATAACGGGGCCACTGGGTAGCTCAGTGGGTTAAGCATCTGCCTCGGGCTCAGGGTCCTGGGATCGAGCCCTGCCTTGGGCTCCACGCTCAGTGCGGAGCCTGCCTGACATTCTCTCCCTCTGCCCCTCCCCCTGCTCTCTCTCTCTCTCTCTCTCTCTCTCTCTCTCAAAAAAATAAATAAAACAATTCTTGAAAAAAGAAAGAAAGAAAGTAGGTACAGTCCAGTCCAAGCTGAACAGTTGGGAGAAGGGCCCTCCACCCACCAAAGATAATATATAGATCAGAAACTCTCACCAAAGGCAACCAAACACTGACTGCTCAAGGTCATGGTGGTTCCTTGTTTGCACCCCAGGGCCTTGCCAGCAGCAGGCGGCAAGTTTCTGAGTGAGCGTGTGAAGTGTTTAAGGGGAAGTCAGATTAGATCTGGTGTCGATTTGATTTGATCTGATCTGGCTAGGGGGCTTTGGGCCAGCCACTTAACCTCTCTGAGACCCCATTTCCTTATCTGTCAGGTGGAAATAATGATAATTGTGGCAAGGACTCACAAGGGCCAGACATGGCGTGCTTTGTGTATATTAAATCACCAAATGCTCTTGATCACGGTGAAAGGTATGGCTGATATTTCACTTTTATAGATAATAAACCTGAGACAGAGAGAATCTAAGGGACTTGCCTAAGGTCGCTTGGTTTGTGAGCAATAGAGATGAGCTCCAAACTTGGTCTCCCTGGCTGTGGAGTTCACACATGGGACTGTCGCTCTTATCTTCTCTCTTAATGTTGGTGTGGGCATTACATCAAATAATGCATGCAAAGGGCTTAGCAGGTGCCTGGTAGAATATAGGCTACTCAAAAATAGTATTTATTATTGCAAGCTCAGTATCCAGAAAAAGTTTCTTTGAGAAACTGGTGTAATGCCCCCTGACCAGGAATAAGTAGCTCCATGCACAACTTTGGCTGCCAGTAGCTCCACATTAAAGCTACTGTGTAGGGGACCTGGGGTGGCTCGGGAAGTTAAGCCTCTGCATTTGGCTCAGGTCATAATCCCAGGGTCCTGGGATCCCAGCCTCCCTTCAGGGTCCCCGCTGAGCAGGGAGCCTGCTTCTCCCTCTCCCTCCCCTCCGCCACCGCCACCACCACCCCACTCATGCTCTCTCTCCTGTTCTGCTGTCTCTCACATAAATAAGTGAAATGCTAAAAATAAATAAAAATCCCTGTGTAACGTAGTCCCAACTATGCTCCAATTTAGCTTCTAGAATAATGATGTCCTCCTATCACCTTGATTTTAGGTGATTTTCATTTTTCAGCTTCACATTCGGTCCATGTATCATACTGTGGGATTTT